TTCCAACAAATTCCCAACCGCAATCCGTTGGAATTTTCCAACGGAATTTCCAACCGATATTCGTTGGAATTTTCCAACGAAATTTCCAACCGCAATCCGTTGGAATTTTCCAACGAAAAATTCAAAACATATTCTCGATTCAAAACATAATTGAAATTTAGAATGTTTAAACTTTGAATACGATAGATTATGATTATATTTATATTTATATTGATTTTAAATATTTAAATTTTAAAATTTGAATATAAATGACCTATATAATTGTATATGATAGATTATGATTATATTTATATTTATATTGATTTTAAATATTTAAATTTTAAAATTTGAATATAAATGACCTATATAATTTATTTATATTTAAAATTATTTTTTAATTTTAATTTAAAATTTTATAATTTTTATATTAGACACGGATATTCACAAATATAGATGACGTGTTGATGGTTCTGTTATTTTTTACGTCGTTATTGTTCGTGGAAGTTTGCGCTAAAAATATAAAAGTTTGTGTATTTTATTACCAAAATAAAAGTTTGTGTATTTATTTGCCAAATAAAAAAGGTTCATTTTTTTTTGCCATTATTCCAAAAGTTTGTATAATTTATTACAAAAATAAAAGTTTGTATATTTATTTGGCAAAGTTCATGTTTTTTTGCCATTAACCCGGATATAAACATTTATGTATAACCGGTAGGGGTGGACACGGATCGGATATCCGGATTTTTTCACATATTTGTATCCGTATCCGATCCGTACAAATATCAAATTTCATTATCCGTATCCGATCCAAACTTTTCGGATATTCGTAATTTCAAATATCCGTAAAAAACACGGATATTTGCAAATATCCGTATTCGTATTAGTATTTAACATAAAAAAATAAATTAAAAAACTCAAACACAGCTTTGCATTCAATGGAGGAACCTGACAAAAGTTTCCATCAAACAATTTACCAAAAAAAAGTTCTTCATTGCTCAGATTCTTTGAACAACAATGAAAAACTTCATGTCGTGTTCAATATAATCTTCTCTTGAAATTGAATTAATTTAGTCTTAATTCAAAGAGTTTGGATGTTTCTCTAGAAACCTCAAAATTCAAACAGAAAACAAACAGAATCTGTGTACCACAATCTGAATAGGAATTTCTCTAAGGAAATAGATGACGAACATTCATTTACGGAAAGCCAATTGCAGAAAAAATCACTAAAGAAAATAGCTCACAGTCTGAATCGCAAGAAACTGCAATTTGAATACGACTTCATGATTGGAGAATGTTGTACCTTTATATCCAAATATATGCGATAGGAAGAACGAGTTTTTAAACCAGGACTCTTCGATGTGGACACTGGAATATGCTTTCTTCAATAGGCCGATTCGGTTGGTCAGTTTGCGGATCTTGTCACTTGAACTTGTGAATCTTCATTTTCTGTCCTAACGTG